CTACATTTCATTGTTGCTTTGATACACGTAACTCAATGGTCACATACTCTGACATATTATTCATCAGCCTGTGGGCTGTGAATTCAATCTCGTAATCATCCTGAATAGTGAGTGCACTTCTGAAATGTTTATACATTTAACGGAACTACATTTCCAAGTCTAATAGCTTCGAATTAAATAATAATGGAATATAATTAGCTTAAAATTTATAATGAAGCTTTATGAATCCCATTGTGACATTTTTCGGAAGGTGAAGAGTCTGAAAGTTCCCTAAAATGTTCTTTGTACATATTTATCAAGTTTCCTATACCATTAATATAAAGAACAATAAGTTGGTCCCAGAATCCAAACTCACCTTGGTACATAGCATCAGGAAGTGTACGACAAGACATTGATCTTCTTGGACTTGGTTTAAAACTGTTCGGAGAGTTGGCTAAAGACTTGTTGTCCCTATCTTCCTCAAGTATTTGATTTATAAAGCTTCGAAGCTCTTGTATCTGAAAGAAATCATAATCAAATAGGCAGACAGTTATAAACGTCAAATACCAAATCAAATGAACGGTTAATGTAAATTCAAATGAACTGTCGTCAAGATTTGACAGAATAGTTCTAAAATATTTGGGCGCCGAGTGAGAAGTAAACATTTGTCAAAAATTATATTTGTAAAATCTCAGCGAGATTGAAAAGAGTAATTCCAACGTTTCGTTCGGCAATCTGGTCCGAACTTCTCCAGGGAAATTAATCGAAATTAACATAACATTGGTTTATATTTAAAAAGGAACATCACTTGATTTTTAAAAATTTGTCCAATCATGAGTCATTCAAAAAGTATCAACAAGTATAGTAAACAAAATTTTATGAGCTGTGATCAAAATTTAACCTCGGACTTACAAATATTGGTCTACCTTTGTTAAACACTTTAAACAGAGTGTGTATGTGTGTGTGGGTAAACAATTGTAAAACATTTCTTAACGTTTCCATAAGAAGATATGGACAGTCGAGAATTTTGACCAAGTACTAATAATTAGTGATACATATCCACTTTTTATTTATTAATAAGAATTTCGTATGTATCAGCTAACATCACGCCTTCATGTCTGTTCAAACTGTTAGTATCTAGAATTTTATGGTTAGACGTACTTTCAAAATTATGGTGTTTAGGATTAGAGTTTAGTAGAAGCACCCTGTCGAACTTATTGCTTTGCCTTCTTTCTGCAGATTGAGCTGCTTTATTCGACCTATTGGAGTTGTCGGATGACTCGACAGCTACGGATTTAGAATATGCATTCTGCTGCAGACAACGGAGAGTGAAAACACGAAGATTGTACCAGTTACACAGTTCCTTTGTTAATTTAATTCGATTGCAAAATAATTCAAATGAACTGTCGTCAAGATTTGACAGAATAGTTCTAAAATATTTGGGCGCCGAGTGAGAAGTAAACATTTGTCAAAAATTATATTTGTAAAATCTCAGCGAGATTGAAAAGAGTAATTCCAACGTTTCGTTCGGCAATCTGGTCCGAACTTATGTAAATATAAGAATAAGGATTATTCTGAGCATTCAACAAAGATGGTAACTAGACAGGTTTTGAATATTCGTCATAAAGATAGATATTCTGTTAAAATAATAACTGTCAAGATACTGTCATAACGTAGTACGATACAACTAATCCTGAAGTTTCAGTTGGGCGCACTTCCTTCGATACGTCATCTATGCTTCAGCTTAGACGTCTTATAACGTCAATGTCGAAGTATTTGAATTCCAACGGTTCAATACTGTGTTTTCGAAACCCAGATTTCTGATATATTTGTCATCTTATGGACATGTGCAGCTGTCAGAAATTTAAGGGCAGAATTTATTGTAACTATGGAATATTGCATTTCCTTGTGCGTTGGTGACACAGCGGTTAGGACGCTTGCCGACCATGGACATGCTCCAGGGTTCGATCCCCGGCCGACACACTCCTTTACCTTGCTAAGCCAGTAATAAACCTGATAAACAGGAAAGGTTCTGCATGAGGCTAGCATCTCCATCCTGTAAAAATAATTACTGCCACCGAAACTTCAAGCCTCTAGCTTGAAGCCCTATTTTCCACTGGGAACGAGAAGGAATAAAATAATAATAATAATACGAATTAATAAAAAAATGCATTGCCTATTAGTTTTATACTACTGAACTTTCAAAGAGGTAACTTCTAGACGTTGTCGTCCTCAATTATAGTGTATTATCACATACCATTCCATATCATCGTGACTTCTCACTATATCTATATATATATACTTATATATATGTATATATAGTATTCAGTTCAAACTTTATTGTTACCTACCCTTTTTGAAACTCCTGAGAACGGTGTCGGATGTAATTAGAACTTATTTTACGAATATGATATAATAAGGCATCTGAACGCAACACCAGAAGTCATACATGGTCTTATGATGAGTGTAAGCTTTACAGGTACAACTTGATAGTAAGAGACAACAGAGATCCATACTGAGATTTTTCGGTGGGTGCGTACTGATCAAGAGTCTCAAACTAGAACGAAACAGATGTCCAGTACTCCCAGGTTTTACAGTGGTTCTCTAACTGATATCAGCTCGTAATGAACTCCTCCATCCAATTTTCAGTTTAATTAATTCGGTAATGAAACCAACTGTGACTGGTACACTGAAGGAAGGTAAACATTTCCCATAACGACATTAAGAATAGAACACCTTAAGATTCTGTTCTTGACTCGGAGAAAACGTCACCTGAATATGAGTACTGAAAAGTTTAATGTATCACTGATTTATTTTCTATTTACCTAATTTCTTTTGTATTATTCATTTATTTATCTAACGGTCGATCAGTTAAACAACTTATCGAGTGTTTATTTCAGTAGGCGCATATGATGCTTGGCAATCTAATGAGTGACTGGGTGAGTTAATTAATAAATGAAAAAAGAGCAGAATGACTAATTGAACAACACAAAACTTTGCTCGCATAAGATACAAGAAAAAAGAGGGATAGTAAAACTATAGTGGACAGAAACGAATGGTAGAGAATAGTTGAATGAATATTTGTTGTCGACTTTTATGATGTCGAAGTTAACAAAGCCAGTGCAAACGTAGAATCATTAGCAATTTTAGGACCTTTTCACAGAAAGCTTCCTACCGATGATTCTTAGCACTTCACGAACCCTAGCCGGACAATCTACAATCCTTCACCCGGGTCAAACCAAAAGTTACAGTCTTCATGGACTAGTGACGCGTTTTGTTCTGATCAATTCAGACTAGTCAATAGCCTGATCTTATTTCAGCTAACATAGTTTTTCATAGATCATGTCTCGATATTTGTAACACAACTTCTCGCCATCTCCTAGTCTTAAAACGTCATCAGCTGACTCCCCATTCTTACCAAAAGCTCTACAACTAACCTGATTACTTCTTATCTTGTTTTTATATCTAACCTAGACAAATGAACAAAACACCTGTGATAAGAAGCTGCCAACACTTTTTGAAATTCTCTTTTCAACAGTCTCGTAAAGTTGGACTCAATGGACTACTTCATGGTAAATACACCTTTTGAATGGTGGCCAGAAATTCATCCTAAACCGAAAAATAACCTAAGTTGGAAAATGATAAATAGCTCTTTATATTCATTTTAACGTTTCCTTAGCAATGAGTGCATTCGGGCTAGTATAACTTCCAAGTTTAGTGAATTCATCAAAGCATTATATCATTTAACTCACTGCCCTCAAACCAGTAGTCAGTACAGACCAGTTCTACAGCATCACATGGCAGTCTACCAAACAAGGCAAAGGCTATTACTTTCAAATTACACTACTGTTATGTAAAACTTTCCACAGAGAGTTCAGGTATGTATTATTCCTGATATCAGGAAGAAAGATGCAGTAACTCAAAAAGACACTTCTACAAATATATATCAGGGTCACAAAAAAGGAGTTCATTGTGGTTATCAGGCTTAATTTGAATTTTATATAATAGTTTGAATTTTAACCTAATCTTATTGGAGAAAAGAAATTTAGAAATATTCAAAACTTCCAAATGCCCAGAATTCGGTTTTATTAAGGTATCATTTTTAACACCTGGTTTCTATTTGTTTTAATCTCAGAGTGCAATATGATTTTTGATCTAAAAATAGAGGGTATTAACAGTGGTTTTGTTACAGTCTTTACGACACCTCTCATTCCCGTCCTGACGTCCTTTAGCCCTCAAATAACATTTTAAAAAACATATTTTCATGAAAATAACTTTCATAATTTCCGACGTTTTAAGTTGCCCAATTCGATCCGCCTTATTTACCACGGTATCTCTTAAATCTCGAACCATAGTGTCCTGTATAGAAGAGAAAACTTAATATTGAGCACTTAGTTACCATTCAGTACTAGGTTTTCGTAGTAGTGCAATCAGCACTGTATTTCGATACGCAGAGCTGGTAAGATTTCACCAATCTATCTGATAATTTTGTTGATAAACTGAGTGTCTGAATATTGGAGAAAAAGGGTATAAGAAGCAGATTCTAGGACAGAGAATTAATTTCTTTTGGCGTAAGCAGAGACTTTTTAAATCAACAAATTATTGCAGCAAATTTTGTCATGCAGGTGTCCGTGAATTGTTCATAAAATTTTCCATGGTACTACTTACTACATGAAATAGTGACGCGCGCATTTCACGTACCACTTGAAGTCCAGTTAAATGGTGCTTGAAATTCCAATAGTTTCTCCACTGACTAATATACATGATTTATTCTACCCTCACAAATTCACATATATATTTAACTAACTTATCAATGAAGAGCATTGTGTGTTGTCAGTGCTTACACGTTATAAAACTGTTTACACTAATACATTTCTAAGCATACATTTAATCCACTTCTGCTCATTTCCACTGTAAACAAATTGGTAAAATTCGAGTCTTACAGAGTACATTATGACAAGGCAAAAGACAGATAGCGGAACAAATTAACTGCACGCACGCTTGAAACTCAATTGAACTACCTTCGAATTTCCATCAGTTCTGATTAAATCATCACCATTCCTTAGGACTCGAGTTCTTTCCAATCCTCTAGATAAGTCGGTCTCACTATCACTCATTTCAAATGAATTTATTTCTTCTAAAACATTCACAGGTGTATTTGTATCTGGAGAAATTATTTGTCTTCTCTCACTAGAACTCGACTTTTTTAGAGGTATTGGTGAATTCTGCATCGCTGATTTCCGATCTTCTCTGTCTATGCCATTGTTACTATTGAAAGTTGCTGATTTCTGTTTTGCAGACGCTAATTCTTGTCTAACCATGCGTTCTGTTTCTATTAATCGCTTCGGTCGAAGATCATAGTTTGAGGAGCTTGTGTTCTGACCTGTTTCGAGAGATACATTATAATTTGTATCCGTTTCTAGTGTTTTCATACGAACACATGGTGACGGTAATCTTCTAGAACGGGGTACGCTCTTCTGATTTGTCGCAATCTGTAATTTGGACTCATTTAGATTGATGAACACATTATTAGAATCTAACGTCATGAGTGTTTTATCGTCTTGATTTGAACATGGTAGTGTTTTTTCACGTGAATGCTTACGCAGTGATCTTGACTTATGCTTTATTGGTGAATTTGTCTTTGTTAAAGATGTTGACATTAGATCAGGAAAATGCTGACAGTTTGGAATGATGTTACATCGAACATCATTACGGGAAACTAAGCTCAGATAGTTGATTCCACTTTCGAAAGTTCTAGAGTGGTTGTGATATTTAGCGTTAATTCCCAGTGTTAAGTATTCATTAATTCTAGTAAATGGCAATATAAATGACTGTACAGATCCGGTGAAGACTGAACCAGTTAGATCTTCTTCTTCAGTAGACTTTTCACGGCCTGGAGGGTCTGAATTTTCGCGAGCCCATCTTTGCGAATCTGTTGTCGTCCATTTCGCCAGTTGATTACGTGACATTTTTGTTCTATCCACACTTTGAATTCGTTGCCGAAGCATATTGGATGATGCCGAAGAATTCTGTTGCTCAGTGACTTCATTCATGTTCGTATTTTGTCTTTCACTACACGAGCTATTTTGTTTCTCCTCACTGGCATCATTATCCTTACAGTCAATGTGCAGTTTAGCACTACGCTCTGGTTCAGATCTTGTTAATAGACTCGAAACCAATGGTTCGTAGTGAGATTTCGTATAAGAATAGAAATTTGGATAAAATCTTTCCATTGTACAGATTATTTTTACTTGAACAGCTCAAAATGTCTCAATGGGATACGGATAATTATGTAATAAATTCCACTTCAGAGATAACTAATTAATTAATGTGACACTCCCTTGATTACTGTTCTTTCAAGTGAGATAGAAAATGTGTGCAAAGACAAAAGTGTATTTATATGTGTGTGTGTTTGTGTGACTCGGTGTGGCCATTCACATTATTTCCTTAACAAATTCCCTTTGCAACCATGACTTATCCAATCAGTAAACAGTCTGTTCCATTAGTCAGACTATCTTTTTTCACAGATCTAGGTTTTTCCTCTCCATTTCTCTTTTTTTAAAGTGCATAATCAGGCGTAACATTAAACGATTTTATATATGATGTATATTTCTAGGACTATATGCCAGCCAAGTAGCCATCCAGACAGTCGATCTATTACCTAGTCAAATCATTAAGCCGATTCGTAAACATGAATCTATTGCTAATAAGTTCATCATCATATGTCAGACGTGTTCTGAACGCCCTATTGCTTTGTACACATGAAGGGAAGGCAACTACAATGAGTTTTCAGGAACATTTTCTATATAAACTAAACCTGATTCTTGGTAGGCAGAAAGATTTAGTGGTTGAGGGGAAAAGATAGACTGCAAACTGCAAGCAATTACTGCAACAGTCGTTGAACTGAACCCTCAAATGTTTTGTTTTGTTTCTTTTGTAGAGAACAACAAATACCCGCAAAATTAGGTATGACAACTGGTGGTTGAAGTGATTCTGAGTTGTAGATGAAGTCGGTTGTATTCTAGTAGTCAGTAAAGTGTCAAGTTAATAAGTCAAACATGATAAGTTTGTACCCTTTTGTCACTTAGGCTTTTTCATCTTCAGTCATTACATCAGTGTACTGTTTTAAAATAAAAGATCAAAAGTGCTGGTTTAAACTCACTCTAATTGATATCTCAGCTGACATTGTGGAGATTTGTTCATAAAGACTCTCGGTCTTCTGATAAAGATCTTCAGTCTGTAAACAGAAAGAGAGAAAATTGTAGATGTCGTGATCAGTGAAACAGTGAACAAGAAACAAAATGCACAAAGTGTACATATCATTTTGCTAACTTTCTTGTTATGGTGACTGTTATAGTCCTGTGAGTTCGATTCAGCAGAGAATCTTGTTATTTTCTTCAGGTTTTACTGCAGAGTTATGGTTTCTATTGCATGTGTTGAACTTATTCATTAGTGTTTTCATGTAGCGCTCAAATACTTCCACCCTTTGTGCAAAATCGAATTGTGAATATGACAGAAATAATTCAGTTGGAAAGGTAATCAGAGATTTATTCTATTCAGGCCTCACTCCTTCACTAGGTATCTCTCATGGCATTTCCTCTTAATCAGTCAATCCTGTAAGAAGTATCAGAGCTGTATCCTGTGTACTTTGTGACTTATTGTCATGGTATTTCATCAGCTGCTATAAGCTCAGTCTGAAGCAGTATCCTGGTATTCATCCCACCAGTTAGCAGTTCCTGTGTTTTTCTACAATCAGAATTATTATTATCGTCAGGGATCTCCAGCTAGTATTTCCAAGTAACTAGAGTGTTATCATACAACTGTGTTTTGCTCACTTTGCGTGGATTTCTCACTTATCATAATCGAGTATGATTTCAACAAACACTTTGTCATATTCGGGATTTGTCGGAATAGTTGGCCTGAATTTAAGAGTCAGAACAGGACATAGGATTAAGGGAAAATCATGTATCTGAAGTCATCTGTTCCACAAAACTAGAATGCTTAGTTAGTAAGTAGGTATGGTTGATGAATTTATACGCAGATCTATATGTTTACTGAATTCACGTGGTAGGCTGTCCTCCATAATTCAACCACACATGTTTACTCATAATAACTTTTGAATGCTGTAGTGAAATTCAGGTAGGTAAGATATTCAGAAACTGGCTCCTTCATTCTATGGTGCAAACAGTGAAACCGCCTTATTATTCCATTTTGTTTTAATCAAGTCTAAGACAGTTTTACATATCTTTTATATTAATGTCAATCATATAACCTAGCTCGAACACAAACAATAATACGCTTATCTTTTGTAGGTAGAGTTGACATTTTTATCAACTAGTCCTCAGAATATTTTGTAGCTCCTTACCTACTTATTTACATACTTACTTATTGAATAATTGAGCATTTTGAAGACAGAATAAGAATGTTGATGTATGCATGCTATACCAACTAATTAAGTTGTGAACAATGTGTATAATTATTATGATGATGAAAACGTGAAAGAGGAGAGGGAGTACACAAATCAGTCATATTGTTCAGGAGAAAAATTCACTTTCGTTTGCATTTATTGCTGTGCATGTGGAGTGGATAAGTAATATAAATGTCACTGCCTTCATCTAGACACTTACGTCGTAAATATCGTAGATTGTTATTGTATACGACAAGAACAATACTGTAAAAACCTTTATCATACTTTTATTTCACTAACCAGGCTAACAAGAATTATATTGGGTTGAACGAAAAGAAGAGGATTTTAATACATTTCATTCGAAGTTCTTATGAATTTCCCTTTATCTACAAATAAATTCTCGTGATGCATGATGAATGAATGTAGAAATGATGAGACTTGCGATTCAGTGCTGTTAAATGCAAATTTTCTCATAGGCCAGATATTGACACATGTTTGACAAATTGAACTTACTTCTTCTTATACTTCATAGTCCACATGACCTTTGGACCGGTCTGCCTCAAATTTTTCCACCCTATCTGCATATGTATGCTTATTCCAACAACCGACATTATTTCACACTTATAACGTCATGCCAACTTCTGCCTCTTTTCTAACGTCAAATTAGTCATCCCTTCTAGGCTGTACCTTACATTACGTAATGAATGTTTCGAGAACAAAGTTTACCAGTATCCAGACGGTCTAATGATTTCTTAGTTAGATATAAATACGATTGTACATGAATCGTCGTAGAGAGAATTCTCTTCGCTGTTTACGTCTTTTCTTACGACTGAGTAATATTAAGCACCTGAGTCATTTAAAACTCATTGGTATAATAATAAATTGAAGATGAGAGAGTTTCCAAAACCTAACTTCATCATTTCGAAAGTCTAAAATCTTAAGTCGACCTATTGAGGAAATGCAGTTTTCCATTTTAAAAAGATTACAGGTTAATCTGAAACATTCCTAAGCAAATAATCATCTCAAAACTTTACACTTACCATACTGATACTGGTGTTGCTAACTTCCGCTGCGTCCACAACCTGCGTAACAGCTAATATAAAGAATGCAAGGTAGACATTAAGATTGATATGTTAGGGTTAAAACCGTGCATTCACTTCTGATAGCTTAAAACACAAATGATAAAGCATCTTTACCACTATCGTTCAGTGCACATTCATAATTGTGTAAAACTGTTGGCCTACTTAAAATTTGCAAAGTAGTATACTTCAACCGATTCAAATATGTGCAGTCACAGTGTTACTAGATTACAGAATATCTCGTTAATTTCAACATGGACCAGAAGCATAGACAAAGTTGTAGTACATTGAAACAGTTGTCTCTCCACAGAATAAACAAAGTGCATCTCGTATAGAAATCATAATTGGTAAGAAATGTAGCGTACTAAAACCAACCTTATTTTCCATTTATCCGTGTTAATCGTCATCCCTAGAGGCCAAAAACGTGGAGTTTGTGTTATAAAACAGTGCCGACTCAATAAATATTGGAAATCCGGTAGAACTGGACACTGTTACTCTTCATGTTAGAGACTCGAATGTTATTTGGAAATCCAGCCCCCGTGAGTGAAGTCTTCTACCTAGTATTTCACCACTCGTTAACTGCGGTAGAATCATATATCCCATGGTTACCGTTCAAAGCTATAAGTTAGTGAGCATTTCAAACTTGGAACTAGAAAGCTCTACAGAGCATCATAGTTTTATGTGGTCGCTTAGCTGATATGAATTTCTAACAAAAGTGTTGTGAAATCAGTTGACTTATGTGGCTGCGAGCGATTCATCATGCAATAGTCACTTATGGTTTTACTACATGATGAACACTGTTTCTCGTCGTCTTCCCTGTGCTTATCATGCAGAAACTGATCAACAATTTACCTGAGAGCACATGAATGTCATTTGACGCTCATAAGCTGAATTAAATTATCTAAGATCCTCACACAGTATCATATTATTTAATTTCTTTTTCATCATAGTACTGCTTATTTTATTCCTTCGGTGTTGATATAGTAAAGAATTTAGAAGCACCGAAACTTATTTCAAGATACCTTCTCGGACATCTAGGTGACTGACTGATCAAGCAGTCAGTTGAATCAACAAGTTGTCCTACACAAAAACTGTTTCCAGAACTGATTTGCAAATTCAACTATCAGGCTCTTCAGTGAGAAGTAGATTGTCTAGTGTGTGTGTGTGTGTCAGAAAGGCCTAATACAACACAGGAACTTAGACACTAATTTGATCAGGACAAATTGTCTTCCGAGGAACTTACCACTAGATTCCTCTGTCATTACTAAATTTCTTCTATTCATATAATGATTTTGATGAAGACTTGAATTATAGTCTCCTTTTCTCTGTATACTGAAACTTGATAGGTCCCTTTGACTGGACCCCAATAGGCCTTCAACGATCACTGGAGTTTCATGAGTTAGAGAGTTTATAGAAGCCGTGGAAAAATTGGAATTGTTGCTTGTACTTGTTGTAGTCGTGCCATAAATCGGTGTGGATTCGAATTCGCTTGAAATTGAGTATTTGGCTTCAGTATCTACAAAATAACCAGGCCATAACAAGCTTCCCGAGGGAAGGCAGTTGTCAACTGGGGGGTTCGTTACTGGTGAGTCTACTATATCGATCAACCCTTTCTTAGAATGACCACATGGCATGTATTCGTAGACGGTGCTGTTGAAATCTGAATCACTTCTCACCTTCTTTAAACTTCCTCGTTTTACCTCAGGTGGCGATATGTATAATGCAACAAACTCATTTTCGACATCAGAAAAATACTCTCGATGCAATGTCGTATCATCCAATAACGTATTTGGCCTGAATTTTGAAAAAGAAGACAGCATTTGGTCAGGATCACTTTCAGTGTCAATTGGTTTTTCACTAGGAATCCCAGTAAAAAGACTGGGTAGGCTTCTTGAAAATTTGCAAGTACTAAGATTTTGACTGG